ATGCATGCATATGCGTACATGCGTACATGCGTACATGTGCATGCATATGCAGTTCGTTTTGGGGCTAGAGTATACGGTTACAGTTTTAAGTAAGTTGTTTTTGTGATTAAAAGTGTTACTGTACGGTTCTGAGTTTTAGTGCTTACTCCGAAAGGCCCATAGCAAATCTAGGGTTTGGCAGAAGTTAACATACGGTAATACGGTAGATATGTAGCCGCAGCAGGTGCTGCTATGTCTGCTATGGCAATCAGAACTAGGTTCCTTCCCCTAAGGGTCCATGTACCCAAATAGTATGCACTTTGGCCTTAAAGTAGTCCCTATATAGGTACATTGCGGCCAAAGTGTACTATTTGGGTACATGGGCCCTTAGGGTTCACAAGGACACAACAACCTTTCGAAACCTCAAACTCTACTGTCCTACATTCTATGCCCTCACTCTGAACCCCAAAACCACAAGCCCAAAACCTACCAGGTCCCAAACCCCTCAATCTCAAACCTAAAACACCTAAACCCAACACATAAAGCCTAGACCAAGGGCTAAACCCTGAAAGCCCTAAACCCAACATGCCTAAAACACCCGCCCCTCCCCCCTCGAAACCAAAACTAAACCCGCAAACCCGCAAACCCTAAACTCTGAACCCCAAACCCTAAACTCTAAACCCTCGCAAAGCCCAACAGAAAGGCCTGAGACCAGGCTTCCTCTCGAGCTTCTTCTGCGACCTGTGGGTTTCCGATATATAGGGGAACCCCAAACCCTAAACCCCCAAAGCCCCTAGACCCCAAACCCTAAAGGTTTAGGGTTTAGGGTTTAGGGCCTAAACCCCTAACCCTAAACCCTAAACCCCTAAAAAACCCTAAACCCTTATAGTAGCCCTTGTAGATCCCCTTAAAGGAACCCAGGGAGTAGGGAACCCAGGGGCCTTCGCCAACCTCGTGAGGTGGGAGGTTCCGGAAATTAGGGGGTGTACTTTACTTTGGGGGGTCTTTATCAGAAGGATCCTACTAGGGTACTAAACCCTTAACCCTCAACGCCTGAACACTAAACCCTAAACCCTTAAACCCCTAAACCCAAACCCCTAAACCCTAAACCCCTAAACCCTAAAGCCCTAACACCCTAAACCCATAAACCCTGAAACCCTAAAGCCCTAAACCCATAAACCCTAAAACGTAAACCCGAGACCCTGAACCGTCTAAATCCTGGCTTCACAACTTCGGCCCTAAGCCCTAAACCCCTAAACCCCCAAACCCAAAGCCACTGAACCCCCAAACGCTAAACCCTAAACCCCTAAACCCCTAAACCCCTAAACCCTAAACCCCCAAACCCTAAACCCTAAACCCCTAAACCTCTACACCCTTAAACCCCAAACCCTAAACCCCTAAACCCCTAAACCCCTGAACCCTAAACCCTACTACCCTGAACCCCTAAAGCCCCAAACCCTAAGCCCTAAATCCTAAACCCACAAACCCTAAAACACCCTGAACCCGAAACCCCTAAACCCTAAACCCCTAAACCCCCAAAGCCCAAACCCTCAAACCCTCAACCCTAACCCTAAACCCCTAAACCCCAAACCCTAAACCCCTAAGCCCGAAACCCCTAACCCCTAAACCGCTGACTCTAAACCCTAGACCCTAAACTTATGTACCCTAAACCCCAGGGGTTTAGGCTGT